GCCTTCACTCTTCCATCTTTCATGCCCCTAAATCCAGTGTCAGGTGAGTGACACTGCCAAGTTTGACTGCAAGTTTGGGGTGGACTCCAGCCTGCTTTATCCGTTTTAGAAGCTTTTCTCTTCAGTGACCCCTGCAGCATTTTCCTTTCACAAGTTGGAGGCTTATCTGGGTGTGGTCTTGCCCTGGAGGCACTCTCTCCATTGTTTAAGTCAGAATCTCTAGGCCCTTCCTTAATCACTTTAATCTCCTTATCAATGGGATCCTCCCCATCACATGCCACAGCTCCAACATTTATCTTCCTAGTGCTCTTTTTCAATCTAAACTGTATATTTTGTATTTCTTTCTGTCCCATTTGCTCTTTTTCACTGTAAATCTGTATAATATTCACCATTAATATCCACGCCACCATTTCTACATTAGGCTGTCTTGAAATTTCTTCCACCAGAGAAATTAGTCCATGGCTTTTCAACTTAGCCTTAGGCAAGCTTTTTGGCTTTGGGCAGAGTCCAGCCAGACTCTTTGCCAAAATATCCCAAGTGCTGCTTAAGTCCTTATTTCCCTCTGGAACTACATTGTTCTCAGCACTACTTTCTTCCAGGTGTTTACTAGAATGGCCTGTTAAGCTCTGCTTACAGCAATCAACCACTTTTCTAGCCCAACTTTCCAAAGTCTTCCACATTTCTTCAAAACCCTACATGGTCAGGTTCTTCACAACCAACAGCCCACTTTCTGTTATCAGTTACTGTAAGTCACTTGTCTGTTGCTGTGATAGAAACACTGACACAAGCAATTTATAGAAGGAAGAGTTTATTTGAGCTTATGGTTCCAGGGGAATTACAGTCCGTCATGACAGGGAGGCATCGTGGCAGAGGTGGCTGGAGCAGGAGCAGCAGAAGCTAAGCTCTCACATCATCACGCAGGCACAGGAAGCAAGAGAGCAACTGGAGATCCAGCAAGGCTTAAGAACTCTCTAAGCCCACCCCCAGTGACGTGCTTCCTCCAGGAGAGCCACACCTTCTAAGACCTCCCAAAACAGCCACCACCATCTGGGGACAAAATGTCCAAACACTTGGAGCCTATGGGGGACATTTTCATTCAAACCACCACACTGACACTGTGATCAAACACCATGACCAAAAGCAACTTACAGAAGGAAGTTTATTTTGGCTTGTAGTTCCAGAGGGGGAGACCATGATGAACAGGAAAGTATCCAGAAGCTGGCTGATCATGTCTTTCATCCACACCCAGGAAATAGGGCTAGCACTAGAAGTGGAGCGGGGGTATAAACCCTAAAGCCCACCCCCAGTGGCATGATCTCCAGCAAGTCTCCACCATCTAAAGGTTTCATACTTTCCCCACACAGTGGCATGAACTGAACACCAAATGTTCAAATATATAAGCCTATGGGGGACATTTCTCATTCAAACCACCACAAAGAGAAAGCATTTTGTACCAAATGTCTACTCTTGGGCATGCTCAGTAAACGCTATCTCTCTAGAACATGCCCCTGCAACTTTCATCTGGCAACACCAAAACTGACTCCCCTCTTCCCTCACCCACTTTGGCTACCTACTTGGCAGGCCAGAAGTTTGGGAGAATTAAGGTCCCTGGGAGAAGCCTTCAACCAATGCTGGATAGGAGTCAGGATCTAGCCATCTCTACCGCCTCACCCACTGGCTTGGATGAATAATGTCCAGTGTGACACTGATTTTACAAGTGGATGAAGCTAGGTTGCCCACAGTGGTAGCTGGCTTGACTTCACTCTTTAGTGGTCACCTTCCCTTGTCTCACCATCCACTCTCTTTATAATGCTTGCCTTCACCTCCCAAATAACCCCTCGCAGTAGAATCTTTAGCTCTGGATGTGCTTCCAGTGAGAGATGATAACTAAAACATCTCATGACCTCCTTCAGGCATCATGAACAAGGGTGGAGAGGGAGGCCCTAGCTAGGTGGCCCAGACTGAGGATATGTTTGCTGCGGAGTACCAAGCAGGCCTTGGAAGAGAGTGCTTAGAAGGATACTGCCTACCTTTGACTTTTCTTTCCTTCCCTCCTTCCTTCCTTCCTTCCTTCCTTCCTTCCTTCCTTCCTTCCTTCCTTC